GACGAGACCCGCTATGAGACAGATGACGAGTTGAAATGTCAGATGCAAAATAAAAGCCTGCTGCTCTTTCTTCTGCCCTTTGGCAAAATGGCCATTTTCCTCCAGAGTCCAACTTGCCAAGGTTGGATAAGTCAGAATTTGGGAGCCTTTCAAAGTCAAACAAAGAGTTCAGAGTTCCAGACCCCAGCGTACCTCACTGAATCTGCGTGCCTGTGCGTGCGTGCGTGTTCAGAATAGAATAAAATCAAATCCAATAGAATAGAATGGAAGTTTGTTGCCACTATCACAGCAACAATGAAAATCGCTCAGGCGACGACAAACAGGCACACACAGAGACCCGGGAGCTCCATTCAAACAAAGTGACGACAATAATCGAGTGGCTGGAGAGAGACGCACGGGGCCGAGGGGAACAGCTGTAATCGGAAAGCCGATGAGCAAGAAGAACACACCGACACGGCACGCACACGAAACCCGGGCCATATGAAGAAACCAAATAGAATTGAAAGCACAAAAACACAAACCATGACAATTGTCTGTTCAACGGGGCTCTTCAAAGCACAGAAGCCTCCGACAAGGTGGTGCCCTCCCACCCGCTCACGCACGCGCCCACGCACGCACGTGTCCCAGGCCTCATTGTTCAGTATGAAGTGCAACAAACAAGAAGCAAAGTCATTCGGAGTCTGCCTGCTCGATGAACATCAAACTGCTGAAAGAAAGACAGTCTTCGTCTTTCCCCGGCGCCCCCCCCCCCTGCCTTCCAATTGTTGCCGCGGCGGGTGGCCATCCTGCGTTGCGAGGACTCGGTCCCAGTGCGAGGGAGAGGTCAAGAGAACGTGCGATTGTCCCAACAAACCGACTCCTCCCATTCACTTTGCTGCGGCGGCCTCGGGGCAAGCGCGGCGCTATGATGGCGGCGCCGACACGGTGGCGGCAGCTTGCTTTCCCGCATAACATCGTTCCAATGAATTTGGAGGACTTCGAAGAGAACCTCGACCCCCCCCCCCCCTTGACAAATGCTGCTTTTGACGAATCGCCGGATGACGATACCAACGCGGAAATATACTGCGGTTCCAAACGATCCGACGCCGCCCAAATAGTTTGGGAAAACCGACATTGTGAAAAAACAAGAGCGAGGAGGACGACTTTCCTCGGACCTCGCTGGTCAATGAGAATCATTTTGTTTTTTTGAAAGAACGGACTCCTCAATGCTGCGGTCTTGCTGATCGCTCACATTCAACCTCACCTGTTTTCCCAGCCTGTCCATCGGGCTTTTTTGTCTTCGACACACTGTTACGCGAAAGACGTATTTCAACCGACCAGACATCATTCAGCTTGATATGTCGCTCAACAAAACGTGACAATCCCACCGAGTGAATTCCACCCGAGCCTTTTTGTCCCGCCGCTATGCATGGCAGCTCCGTTTTTGTTTTTTTCTTCCCGTCACTACTCGTTTGCCAAAACATCTGAGGGCTCCTGGCAAGTATCAAAAGTGTGTCGGGGACTTGCGTGTCAAAGGCCTTTGCAATGGATGGAATCACATCAAGGTCAAAGGTGAGCTGAAAAAGACCCGCCGAGCTAACCACAAAAAAAAAAAAAAAAAAAAAACCCACACACGTACCATTACAGTTAAGTCTGGGGGTAGGGGCTCTGTTCGTACTCAAGGGGGACTTGGCCCCAGCCATGTAAGCTTGGGGGTGGGGCGCGGGGGGGAGGGCGCTGAGTCAGCGTGGGGAGGCTTATTTGACAACTCTCAGTCTGTGGGGGCGCCCGTTCGGTCAAGGCTTAAAGTGCTCAGATAGCACCTCGTGATAACCTCTGACTACTTCTGTCCGACGTTTATGTCGAAAGGTCAGATGGGGGCGTGGGGGGTTCCTGCATGTTATCTGACCAAGTCCAAAGGAGGTGGGCTGCCGGGGGCCGGAGGCGCACGCGTTTGCATCGACATGACTTGAGTTGAAAAGAAGGCCACTTGTATTTCTTGTACTGGTGGTACTTTTGGACTCGTCACGCACAATACATGAGGCGACTTCCGTCACGGACCGAAATAGGGGCACCCGGCGTATGCTACGAAGCGACCCGCTCTGAAATCACGTGCAAAATTCAGAGCAAACTATTTTCTGCGAGGCGTCCTCTGGGCTCCCACCCCGGAGCAGGCCGCAGGGGTCGCGGAGCACGCTCGCTGCCATTTTCCCACACGACCGCCGCGCCAAGCTTCGTGTTCGTGCCGTGCGACCCAAAATGTTGTCGCAAAGACCCGCAAACTGGGTCGGCCCGGCCCTCTTTACGATGATTCCAAAGGCACCGACCCGACCGGGCTTTCCCATCCTCTGTGCTGCGGTGGGTGGGTGCGCCATGAGAGATCAGGTGGGGGGAGGGGCGGGACATTTCACCGAAAACTACTATTATGAGGAACGTTCAACACGGCCAGCTTTCTCAACTGGCTGGATCGACGGTTCGTGAAATGGGTGTCCCGAGGCACTCTTTTCAGGAGGCAGTGTTACAATAAAAAGACTGGCATGCTGTTGAAGAGCCTGTTAAGCAAATACAGTTTGGCTACAGTGGCTATATACTATATATTATATAGTGTACTCAGCTTGACTCGGCATTTTCAGCGACTGCCATTTTGGGGAAATACTGTCGAGAAAGACACAACGGGCGTGTCGCCTCAATCGTGATTGCCGAATAGACAACTCGACTTGTTGCCAATCTCAGTTGATGTGGAGAGCAGCGTCGAACAAGTCATCGTTCTGGGGTTGCGCTCGGAAACATTCGTGCGGAAGTGCTCTCGGTACGACTTTTTCCTCCGCCCGCCGAGGTAAGCCGTGAGCCCGCACGGCCCGGCGTCTGCGCTCGCAGACGTGCGCCGCATTGTCCTGCGCAGGATGGGGCTCACCTTTCCTCTCGTGAAGCAACTTCCACACACCCTCGCACTCCTACGCCTCATTCGGTACTTTGCTCATGTTCTCACACACGTGCTTACTCACTGTTCCTGACTCGGAGGATGCGGTGAAGAATTCGTGGAAGGAGCGCGCGCGCGCGCACACACACACACACACACACACCTCCCACTACTCATTACAGGTGGGCGTCAGCACTTGCTGAGCGGTATTGCTCAAGAAAAGGTAGCAATCAGCCCTTTTGGCACAAAGTAAGGCAGGAAGTGCGACTGGTTGTTCTTCCTGTTCTGGTCCACGTCGTTTCCAGTGTTCCCAAGGGAGTAAACTCACTCCCAATTTACGGACAATCCCCCGCCTCCTTGCCGTTCTATTCCAGCTCGTTCGCACAACAAGCACTTCTTCCTGTGCAGATGTCAGCAGTGGCGTTTGGCCGGAAAAAAAAAAAATCGCACGTCGCAACAGGTTATTCCAAAATCACTCCAGACTCCGTGGCTCGGAGAGATCCTCATCAAGGTGAGTCGCAGCCCATTTTGCCACTTTTTCCAAGTCCGCTCGACTGGACGCCCCACCACAAGTCATGACAGCCGTCAGATCGAGTGCTATTTTGCTACACGCTCCAAAGATTTGCGTTTGATGCGATAAAGACAAATATGAAGCCAGAGAACTCTCATTCCGAACTGAGCTCGATGGCAGGATTTCCCCGAGTTTGGCATCTCGATCCTGACCTCTTGGCCTTTTTGGACAGCTCAGAGCGTGACGTCACTCGCCCTCATGACTGCGACGCGAGAGAACGCGTGCCGCGGGAACTCGGGGGACGACCGGCAGCTTCGAGGCGATCCCGCGGCCGCCTTGACGGGGGTTGGGAGGGAGAGCGCAATGACTACCCCTGGCCGCTGGGTGGCACCGTGGGACATGACATGGCTGCCCATCAAATCGGAAGAGCGCCGCGCCGGCACACGGACCCGTTCCAAATGTTGTTCATTGGTGGGGTGCCGACAAATTCGAGAGGGCGCTGACGTGACCAACTCGCGAACTCTTTCGTGGCTGAAAGTGTCTTGAGGCAAAGCAGACACATCGGTTTGTGTTTAAATTGGGTGATGCAATCGTAAGTTGAGGGGTTAGTAGGTTTTTAGTGGACTTTAAGAATGGGCAAAAGGAGAGATAGAATCCGTTGAACGCGGCTTTTATTTTTCAACGTCTGCTCCGCAACTCCCGAACGAACGAGAACACGCCTTTTTCCGGTAACTCAAACGCTTCCTAGTTTCCTTCAGCCAATCAGACAATATCAACATAAACTTTATTTAAGCAATTATTAAACTGAATACAACCTAAGTGACTGCAACACAAAGGAATATAATGCTCAAATATAAAATGAAAATAATTAAACATTTAACATAAACTTACCCAATGTAGTGCGAGTCGTTGCACATTTTCCCTCGGCCCGGTGGGGCGATAAGAAAAAAACCAAACTGAAATCCGAGATTCCTCAATCTCAATCAAGAAATATATCTTGCTAATTGTATTCCCCCTGTCTTGTTTGGAAGACGGGTGTTTGTAGGGTACTCTTGATCAAATCAGAGACGCTTTCATCGTGCCTAGCTCGGGGAATTTCAGGACGTGTCACAAACTAGCCAATCTCCCAACGAGCTTTGCGCTTTGACGCTCGCTCTGCTGCCAGGAGTCAAGAGCACGAAGGAACAATTATTTGCTCCGTATCCATTTTCTGCCGCTGGAATATTGACACGGCGAGCGATGGGGACACGCCGCCCGCATCTCTGCTTCAAATATTGGCAATGCAATCAGATTCCGGCCGTACACCGTATCGTCACTCAGAAAGGCTCCGAGTGGACTCGTGATTGATTCTCCCGGTACGCTTTTGTTCCTCGGCCGTGTTTTTGTCGGGTGGTTGATGGAATGCGGCCACACTTTCTCGATGTATCAGTGCATTATCATTCCGCAGCTTTCCTTCACGTGTAGCGGCGCCACTCGAGTGTGTTTTTATAAAGAGACCAAACATCAAGAAACCTTGACATCTCTAGAGAGAATCACGCTCGAATGATTCGTGGGTGGGAAAGGGAAAAAAAGAAGGAAATTTACACCATCCGATGAATATATTATTTTATTTGAACATCCATCACCATTGTTATCGTTGAACGTTGAGTTTCCCCTTCATTCATTTCGAATGATCAGCTCTGAATGTACACATACTGCAAACTGTCCAAAAATGTACAAACAAATGCAGGCTTGTGCTATAGTCTGGCGAAATCTCTATAAAACAGTGGCACTCGGGGGTTGAAGAAAGAGAGAGAGACCAGTAAAGACATGCACACCATGAGGATCCTCGTGGAACATTTCTTTTGGCGCGGCACAAAATGTCTGCCGAGTATCAAACAAAACAAACGAGTGGTTGGTCATGGAACTGTTAGGCACATCATTGTTTGGAAGGTTTTTAGATTTGATGAAAAAGTCTGGATTATTCGATGCGTCGAATGTCAATCAAGGGGGAAATAATAAACCCTCAAGAGAAAACAAAGCCAATGAAGCACCGTCTTGTCTTGGTCGTGACCCAACACGGTTACATCGATCGATCAAATTTGCGCGCAAGCGCGGCAGTCCGCGGGGTGGACGCCGGCGGGTTTGAACGGCTTCCGACAGCTTCGGACCAATCGCGTGTCTTTGCTGCGATCGGAGGGGCTGCCGTCCAATCAGATGCTCAGGTCTCTGGGGTTGTCCTTGTAGGTCTTCTTGGGCTCCGGAAGCGGCGGCCTGGCGGAGCGACTAGCGTCGCTCCGGAGCGTGCTGTAGTACTCCCTCACCTTGTCCGCCACAAAGTTGTCGTCGTCCTCTTCGTCCTCCGAGTCTGGCCTTCTGGGGGGGCTTCCGATCGGGGAGATGTCTCGTCCGAGGCTGCGGGTTCTGTACGGCTCCGGTGTCGATACCCTGCTGTGGTAGTTCCTGTCCACCCTCTCGGGCGATCGCCCCCTCAGGAGCGAAGTGTACCTGTGGTAAGCCGAGTCAGAGTCGGGCGTGCGCACTCTGGGCAGGGAGGCGTTCCTGTAGGTGTCTCTGGGGTTGCGGGAAATTTCCCTCAGCAGACTGTCGTCGCCGCCAAAGGCTCGCTCCATGGCCGAGGCCCTCGTCAGGAGGCTGTCGCTCACGACGGCGCGCTCTTCCCCGGCCTCCCTGTTGAGGCGGAGCAGGGCGGGGGACTCGCGCAAGACGCTGTCCTCGAAGGCCAGGCTCGGTTCGGGAGACCTCGGCGGCTCCCTCGAGACCGCCTCGGCCGCGGCGGGCTTCTCATTGCCCCGCGGGGGGCCGTATCGGCGGTTGGGGGAGCGGCCGTGGCCTCTGGTAGGGGAGCGGTGGCGAGGGGGTGACCTGTAGCGGGGAGGCGAACGGCGCGGCGAGTGGCGCGGCGAGCGCTGACGAGAACGGTAAGGAGAGCGGTGGCGAGAGCGGTGGTCGCGCTGCCTTTCAGGCGAGCGACTGCCGCGCCGTCCCCCGCGACGGCCGTCCAGAGCGTTCTCTGCGCTGCGTGACCGCTTGTACCCCTTGTCGGGAGAGCGGTGGCGGCCGTGGTGGCGCCCGCTGGAATGGTGGCGCTGGCCGTATTTTGCCTTTTCATCCTTCTTCTTCTTGAACAGGTTGATCTTTCCGGGAGACGTTGTCCTTTTGTGTTTTCCCGTGCCGGTTTTCTTGTGAGGAGAGCGATGGCGGTGACGTGAACGGTGCTTGCCGGTGCCCGAAGTGTGGTGGGTGGTCTCCTTCCTGGCCCGGGATGAGATTTGGGGTTCCGGCTTGTAGCTTTGCTCCGATGGCTCGTCGAATGGCACGGAACTCACTTCCGCAGCGTTTTGTAGCCCTGAGGCTGAGCTGCTGTCGCGAGGGGTGCCGTCTGCAACACAGTGCCGCATTCAGACCAGACATGCCTTCAAATGATGTGTTCGACAAGCACCGTGCGAAGGACTGCGAGAAAGCCCTTCGGATGCGCAGAGACTTGGCAAGGATGGCGCGGCGGCAGATGGAACGAAAGAAAAAAGGCGCCGGCGTGCTCAAATCAAAAGGCGGCGGCGGCGGCAGAGGCGGCGGCGGCGGCACGTCATTCGAAAGGTGAAGCCAACGTGAACAGAAACAAACCTGGAACCTACTCGGGTTCACCTCTGGAGGCGCACGTCGGACCGGTTGTTTGCTTGTTGCTGAGCCGCGCGCTGTCATGCACCGTGAGGATGGCCCAAGACGCCACTCAAAGCAAGCTTGGATTTACACAGAGGCCACGGTCGAGGTGGGCAGCCCGACTGTCGGACCATTCGCCCGTTACCTCCGCCGAAGCTCCAAAAACATGTTCTCACGAGAATAAGCAGGGTGTCCTCGAAGATGCAATCGCGAAATTTTAGATTCCTGCTCCCAAGTGAACGCCAGCCACCAATCGGTGACACGCTCGATCCAAGTCCTGCCACCGCACGCGCTTGCCACGGTTTTTCCGACAGCGCTTCCTCCTATCAAGGCTATAGAGCGGAAGACTTTGACTCAACAGCAAAGACCGAAAGGACGCTTGATGCTTGGTCAAAATCAGCTGAATTCCAGGATAGGTGGCGCCAACGTGGAATTTCCAAACAATACTGCGGCACAGAAAAGTGACATGCAGGATACATACAGTCCCCTCCGTAACTCTTGGCATCCTTGGCTTCGAAGAGGTCTGAGATTGAACAAGATTTTGACGACAACTTGCGCAAACGGTTCAACACACGCAGCGGAATCAAGATCCTTCTTGTCAACCAATGACAGGAGATTTGGTGCGCTTTTTTTGGCAAAGGGGAGGTGTGCAAAGCAATAATCATGGCGGAACGCACGATTTGACGGAAAGAAAATGAGTCAGAATGTGAGATTTTTAACCCCCACCGAGTGATAGCGCTCCAAATTAAAGCTTGTCAAAACCTTTTTTTTTCGTCCTGTATTATTTAGACAAAAACGTCATTTATTACGAGCTAAATAAAGTTCGGCAATAATTACGGAGGCCGGCCTATATGCTGCATCAATCAAATGCACAGGCAAAATTTAGGATGATTTTTTTTTTTCGGGGAACCCCAAGACATCTCGTCACTGCCGTCGCGTGGCTTTCACCAAAATCCTCCACCGCAATTCTTGTGAGAACAGGTTCCGTTGCTACCGAACGGATGATTGATGGGTCAGGAGAAAAACGTTTGTTTGGATTTGGCATCGTTGACAGAGGCGAAAGGCGTCGTCTGCAGCGAGGAACGCGGCGCCGGAGAGACTTTGCCGGCGGATGCGGCACGGGGGGGGTGCCCCCCCCACAAAGGGGGGGGGGGGGGGGGGTTAGTGCAGCGGAGGACAGTTACAAACCGTGGTTTGACTTTGGAGGACAGAGGCCTCCCCCATCTTGTCATTTCTCAAACATGCAGTGAGATGGGAGGCCGGCGGCCCTGAAGGAAGCCCGGCGCAATGCCACACCGAGGGAGGCAAATAGAAGCAGAGAGGAGACAAAGAGAAGCGCTTTTAGATCACTCAGAGGAAACCTGGAGAAAGGACGACTTGTGTCTGTCTGCCTTGACTCTCCATGGAAACAGAAGCTTTATTTGACCGCCCGGTCGTTCCGATGAAAGAGCCGGTGCGGGAAGTTGCCCTTCAGTGGAAACCAGCATTTTCAGAGAAAAGACCCGCAATCGAATACACGCGTAACGCGACCCCCCCCACCCCCAACATACACGCACGCACAAACAAAGATTTGGACAGGCAAGCAGCAAAGACGCCATTCCTCTACAAAACAAAGTGACACTCGCACGCAGCCACGACAACAGCATGTGAAGCACTTTTACAAGAGCGACGGGAATAAACAAACGTAAGAAAGATTGCGCCGATGAAAAATGACAACATAAAAACGAAAGGTCATCAAGGCCGGCGCAGATCCAATCACTCGTCAAGACAGGCAAAGGTTGCGAAAGCCAACAAAAAGGAAATGGCGTACATCGAACAGGACTATCAATCAACACTGCTCAAATCATAGTGATGATCAATGCAAAAAAAAAAAAAAAACACCCTTCCATAAATATTATGGAAAATAGACAAAAGGAGGAAGATCCAATTGACACCGTCGACAAGTTGCTGCAGCGGTCGAGTTTTCTCCATCAATGTGTGCTTTGGCTTTCCGGCTCTGGACGCGGAAGCAAAATCCCGGCAGAAATGGGCCTCCGTTTGTTCATCTCTGGACAAAACTCGACGCGGCGGAAGCAACTGACTTTTTGTCGTGTGAATGGGCGCAAACGATGGAATGTCAAGCGCGTCTCTCCTGGGCCTTGCACTTTGCACTTCCTTTGTTCGGTAGCTTACATTCACCTTCGATAAATATCATCAATAGTTTGGGACAAAAGCTGCGTTTCAGTGCAACTGCCATTTTCTTCCGGGAAGCCCCCGTCAAGTTTTCTTGTTTTCGTTGGGCTTGTTTGTTTGTTTTTCTCCTTTTCTTCCTTTCCGAGCTCACTTGCGGTTTTGATGAGGAAGCGTCCCAAAAATCAAAAGTCTTTCTCACGCTAAGGTCAGTCAGTTTATCGGGTGACGGGCCCGCGCCGGCCATCTGTCGGCGTGCCGGCAGAGAGATTCCGCTCCAAGGTGAAACGTGGCAGGAGGACGACACGGAAAGCGGGTGACAGCGGGATGGACGACGGCAGCCCGAAAATCCCAAAGCGTAAGCGTGACCTCCACCAGAAAGACACCAAGACAACGACGACGACAGCAACCGCCCTTCCTTCCTCCGGGAAGGGCGGCGGCGGTGGCCCAGGAGGTCCTTGAAGGTTGCCGCGGAGGCGGATCGGGAGTTCCGTTCAAGCCACCCGCCGTCCGACGGCCGTCCCCCGGCTCAGGGTGTGAAGATGGGTGAAAATGGAATGTTTTCGTAGATTGACCCACCATATTCGGGCACCGAGCCGTCACCCCTCTTGAGCACCAGATGGACGCGTGGGCCTCCGCTCTTAATCAGCTCGATGGCTCGGGAGTGCTTCATGCCCTTGGTGCTCTCGCCGTTGATTTCCAGGATTTCGTCGCCAACCTGGGAAGGCCGAAAGAGGATCAGATGAGAATACGAGCCGGCCGGAGGCAGGGCGAGGCGAGGCCTCGCGCTTCGACGCCATCGTTGCGGCGACGCCGGAATAAGGCCGACAGGGCAGGGGAGACGCGGTGACGGGGGAGGCCAGAGAGGACGCCGCGCTAGCCAATCGTCTCAAACGGCATTTTTAAACGTGACGCAGAGAGAGGAGGAGCGGCGTAGCCGACGATTTGAAGCAGATATCTCGCGGGCGGGGGGTCGATGCAAAGGCCCGCTTCGCATCTGTGGAAAGTCGAGCGCCGACTTGCCAATGATGAGTGGCATGTGGGAAAAGGACTCGCTTGGAAGGGGGGGGGGGGGGGCTTTCCTTCTCCAAAGGGGGGCCGTTCACTTTCAGATTCAAGCCGTGATCTCGCGCACATCGGCATGACTTTGCGATGGATCAACGCGGTGTCGGGATGCTTTGTGCCTCGTGCAAAGTCCGTACCCTCATTTTCCCGTTGCGGACGGCCGCTCCATCTTCCGCTAGTCTCAGTACGTAAAGGTCCATGTTGTACTCCCTGCCGCCCCGCAGACTGAAGCCGAAGCCTTTGCTGTCTCTCTCCAGGTCTGCCGAGTAAAACTCGGAATCCTAACGGAGGCGCACACACAAGAAAGGAGGGGGAAACAAAGACAAAAGTTGCGTCAAGGTCTCGTTTGGCAGATCAGATATCAAATGTATAACAATAACAAAATGGACGGACAGCTGGCCGTTTTCATTTCTTACCTGGGCGGAGACTTGCGCCGCCAGCTGCGGGGGAGGCGCTTGAGGGGCTTGAAAGTCAAACGACTCCTGTTTTGGTTTGGTGTTGTTTCTGAAACGGAAACATGATTTGAAGCCTTCGGGCCCTTTTGTTTGGACGCCGTACGCTAAGCAGTCACGTCATCGGGTACGCGCCGGTGTCGTTTTGGTCACTGGTGTTGTTTGTTTTGGGTTTTTTTTCATGACGCTAACATGAGGTAACATGAGGCCACCCTGGCTCTTTCGATGACCAGACAGGACAAAAATGTGAACGGGCAGCGCGTCGGAGCCACGCGCGGCATCCCCATGTTCATGTTCTGCGTTATGTCATGTTATTCGGCAATCAGCTCGGGATGAATTTCAGAGTTAGCTCAAAGTTCTTCGTGCGACTCCTGGCGTAAAAGCGTCGCGAGCTAGCCTCAGACGAAAGTTAGCCTTGCGGTGCTAACGTCGCGACACGGGCGTATTTGGCCCTTGCCGTTCGATGTCGAACGTGCGGGAATTTGAGGTGGGGCGACGAACGCAAAAGTTGCGCCGCGGCGACCCATCATTGAACGGCCGTCCGAGACATGCGGCGGATGAAGCGTTTCGACCCGCCGCTGCTCCGCGCGAAGTCAGAGATCCAAAGTTCCCGTTCACCTGGCCTCCGGCGCTGCCTGTTGCTGGGCTGTGTGAGTGGTGGTTATAGTGGCGATCTTCTCCGCATTGGTCAGCAAAGATGCATTTGATGACTCTGAAATTGACAGAGGAAGACAAAGTTGAGGAGGAGGAAGCCGCAGTGGGTTGTTTAGATATGCATACATACATCTATATGTGTGTGTGTGTGTGTGTGTGTGTGTGTGTGTGTGAGCAAAGTGTTTTTTTAAGAGCAAATTCGGCCGCCTGAAAATGCCGAACGGCCGTTTGTACTCACCGTCTCCGGGAATGATGCGCAGCGTCACAGTATTCCCGGCCTCCTTGATGAGGTTGACGATGTCCGAGTGAGACTTGTTGGTGATGGAGCACGAGTTGACCGCCAGGATGCGATCTCCCACCTTCAGCTTTCCACAGCGGTCGGCGGGGCTTCCCTCGATGATCCGCCCTATTTTGTGAGGCATGGCCACACAGGTATTGCCGGCTATGGTCACCGAGGACACGATGGCACGCAAATATCGAGAGCGCACGTATGAGTCGTCGTGGCGGACAAACAAGATGGGTGGGAGACAGGGAAGGGAGCGGAGAAAGAGAATGGCAAGTTTCAGCGTTAATTCGCCGGCAGCCAAGAGTCAAGCCAAAGACGCAGAGGAGCTGAGCAGAAGGCGAAGACGGCAAAATGTTTGCGCGCTTTCGTGCGGCCTTGGAAACGAATCACCGTGCAAAAGTCACCTTTCCTTTCGCAAGTCACCGCAATTCGAAATGAGTCTCTCTGCGGTGATCAGGAACAAAAAAAACGTTGTGGTCCGCATCGCAGAGACTCTCACCTGAACGATGCTGGAGATGATAAACGTACATCGGAGCCGAAATCTTGCCAAGTGCCCAAAGGGCCCCTTGTCGCGCTTTTTTTTGCCTTTTTCTCACCGCTGTCACTGTATCACCGTCTCGCTTTTCCTCAACGGCTCTTCAACCGCATCTAACTTTTTTTAGCCTGCTTATAAAGGCTATGAGAAGAAAAAAAAAAAAACATGTCAAGTTGCTTCGGTATTAAAAAGAAGCCGGATGTGAATTTGGAAAAAGTTTGCCCGTACTGGGGAATCATTTCCCGCGGTTCCTGACACCAGCGTAGCGGCAAAGTTTGCTCCCGCACGTTTCCATTTGAAATGCCGTCACGCTTTTCTGCTGGCCGGTGAAAGGGAACTTTGCAGCTTTGTGAGCCCAACGCGGAGAGCTCAGCATTTCTATCCGCTGCACTCGCACACAGAGAAGCGGGAAAATACCCAAGTGGCGGAAACGGGAAATCACGACAAGAGGGAGTTGCATTTGAAAGAAAGAAAAAAAAAACACGAGCAGCTTACAAAAAAGTGAAATATAGTCCAAAATGAGATCTTTCCGGACTGTCGCTAGTAAGGCGTAAGTGCTGGTCGAGCCGGTGCTTTATTTTGCTGAGAGGATAAGCGGCGCAAAAAGGACGGACGTGACTTCTCATTGTCACTTAGTGGCGGCCTGCTAGCAGGAGCTATTGAAGCGGCGCCGAATCATACGGCAGCTGTCTTATGTCATCGTGCTCGATGATGACGCTCGTGTGAGAAGAGCGGCAGCGGCTGCGAGGAAAGAAAAGGCCGGCGAGTCAGACGACAGGATGAACCGCCTCCGTTTGCATTTCTTTTGCTCAAACCCCGTAGCCCTGGCACCTTGGATGACAACGGCCCATAAAAGATAAGAGTAGAAAGATAAAAGACCCCAGTGATCAAGAGAGGCCCGTTTCATATTTCATGCGGGGGGAGAAAGGAGAAAAAAAAAACATAAAAAACAACACCTACCAAAGGTAGTGCCGGCCTCGGGTCGCGACACCGATGACACAATGACAAATCCAAAGCCCTCGTTCTCCCCGCGGCGGATCTCGACGTCGTAAGGCTGCAAGGCGGAGCCGGGCGCGCCGGCGTTTACGTGGGGAGGCGGTGACGATGACGTGGCGGCGGCGGTGGCGGCGACCGCCGTGGCGATGGCGCCGCCCCCGCTGCCGATGCCGGAGGTGGAGCCGCTGCCGGAGCTGACGGTGTTGAGGGAATTCTGACTGCCCTGCGGAGTCGGCTTCCCCATCTCCTCCGTCAGGCTGGGCGCCCGGGTGCCGCTGTGGTGGGACGAAGCGGGCGACGGGGGCACGTCTCCTTCGGCTTTAACTGCAGACGACGGAAGAAGAAACACGTGGAGACGTCAAACTCGCGCGAGACCGCCAAGTCCGAAGCGCAACCGCGGACTAGAGGCCAGGAGGTGGCTTCAGGAAGTGGCTGGGCGCAACCCCTCGTCCTCTTTTTCTACAGCAATGCGGGGAGCCAAAGATAAGCGACGGGTGCCGGTTGCGCTCTTCTGGATAGAGCCGGGCGATCGGCGGTGGATTTGCCGGACGCGAGTGTCAAAAAGCTCGAGAAAAGAAACTTTTTCCGTTTTCCGAGCGCGACTGTCGGAGATGGTGCAAATCTTCAGAGGGCGTGCCGCGGCGGCGTACCGGCGTAAGTGGTTTTGCGTCGCACGGTGAGGTTGACGTGGCCCTGCTTGGCCGCCTGCTGCATCAGCTGCACCACCAGTTGGTGCGACTTGCCCACCACCGCCGTGCCATCCACGCTTATGAGCTCGTCGCCGGACCGCAGGCGTCCGTCCTCGTCCGCCGCGCCGTACTTCACGATGTGGCCGATGTATATCTAAAGGACAAACGCAGACATGCAGAAGCTCCGAGGCCAACGGACCGCGTGGCGCTCGCAATCCGTCCTTTGGCCGAGAGAAAAGGAAGGACGGGCCACAAAATTCAACGGAAAGCGGGACACGTACCGGCTCTCCTTCCTCGTTCCCTCCGAGGATTCGGAAGCCAAAGCCGGTGTCTTTCCTCCAGAGGAAAATATCCTGCTCCTGGAAGTCGGGAACTGCAAGGATCCACACGTCTCCGTCAGCGTCGGCAACCAACGTTCTTCCAAAAGTCAGCCGACCTCACTTCATACAAGTCCAAGCTGAATCTCGGGAGGGAAGGTCGTTCATCATAACGACGACGGGTGCCGATCGTGACGCGGCCGCCGCGAAAGCCGAGTAAGCAGCGTTCGCGGTGAGGAAAAACCGAGCGTGTAAATCATCTCTGTGCTCTGTCAAAACAAAGTCCCTTTGCACAAACGCTTTGGCAAAAGAACAAATACGCAGCCCGCACCCCCCAAAAAACCCCCAAGACCCCACACGGATCAATTTTAGCGATATCACGGCACGCGCCCATCGAGAAGACCTTTGCAGCTTCCAAACCCACAAGCCCCTTCTTCTCCTCCCCCGTTTTTGAGAGAAGTTTCATTAGACCTCGTCGCCATGCTTTGGTCAGACGCGCCGACATCCCCTCCACTATTGAAACTAACGCCACATCCGTCGAGAGAGAAGTTCGCCGCGTCAGAGCGAACCGTCGTCACAGCATACGGACCTCCCAACAGACCGGACCGAGAACCTTGAGGCGACCGAGTGAAACGTGTGCCATTCGCGGGTCTGGCAATGAAGCGACTGCAGAGGCGAGCCTGTTTCTCAAAGAGCCATTTTGAATCGGGCATCGTGGGCGTAGATTTGCCGCGCGACCCCACGGCGTCGTGTCAAAGTCGAAAGGTCAGCAGCGATGCGGCGTGAGCGGAACATGAGCATCCGCCGACGGCGTTGTCCGCAATAACTCCTGCACGAGCGGCATATAGGACGGGTTCTGGGCTTCGGCTTGACTTTGCTCTGCGAGTTACACACTCTCGTTGGCAAGTGCGGCAAAGTCTTGTTTGGTTTCTTTTTTTCATGACGCAGGCCGAGGAATTGCTTCCATCCGGCAGTCTATAATCCGGGCGTCGGCCCGCATGATGTCACGGGTCCCGCGGTGGCAGAAGGAGACCACTGATGACTTTTCTTGAGCGTAACGGTGTACCGAAAGCACTCGTGAACATCCTCGGCTGCGAATGAGCGCAATAGGTGCAAACACGCAAAAGGAACTTCCGGGCATCGGCACAAATCCCGCGCCGGTCTTTCTCCAAAGCCGGCGCGGGGGCCTCCGCCGAGCCCGCAGAGCCGCGCGCGGCACTCACCCAACCGCCACCAAAAAAGTTTCTACTTACGCCTACTTTCGTACATGCTCCTGGACTGGGCCCAAATCTTAAAGGGATCCGGTTTCCTCCCGTCGACCGCGGCGTCCTGGGGCGGAAGCCCCGGCAGGGGCTGCGACGGTACCGGAGGAGCGGCGTTCTCGCTGAGGCCGGGCGCCGAGGACGAGTGCGAGGGCGAGTCGGCGTGGGCGCTGCGCTGGCTGGAAACGCTGAGCTGGGAGCTGTTCTGACTGTCCTTTCTCGACAACTGCTGTTGGACGAGCAGACAGGAAGGCAATTGGGTGACCGGAAGACGTGCCGGCGGTTCGCCGCCGACCGACCGCAAAGAAGCGCGGGGGCGATGGCGGGGATAGACACACGGCCGGTGAAGGAAATGAAACCAAAAAAAAAAAAAAATGGAAGCGGCCAACTAAACAACAGAAAGGACAGCTGGGCGGTGGTTGCAAAGAAGTACACACGAGGGCGATTCGCACAAACAAAACAACCGGCGTGAATTACAAAGAAGGTAAAAAAAATACAAATTCCAAAAATAGATGGCGCGCGTTTCGGTGAAGATCCCAAATCCCTGTCACGCGATTCGCACAAACAAAACAACCGGCGTGAATTACGATGAAGGTAAAAAAAAAATACAAATTCCAAAAATAGATGGCGCGTGTTTCGGTGAAGATTCCAAATCCTTGTCAAATGCAAACCGCGCCTGAGAGCAAATCGAACATTCAAAGGCGTTTTCTTCCCAAAACGTTTCAGCAGATATGGCGCGGGGCGGCGGGGGACAACGCGTTTCTCGTGATGACAAACATTCGGCCCAAGCCTGGAGCTCACAAGTGGATTCGCATCTCGCGTTGGTCAACTGCAACGCGAGAAGATCCGAGAAAGGATTTCAGCGGCGCGGTCGCAAACGGGAATATTCCTGAAACTGCCAGTGGCCCCGCCGTGACATCCGGACGCCACCTCCCTACTCAAGAGAAAAACAACCTTACAGTATTTGTTGATCCTCCTTCATTTTCATCTGACATTCCGGGCCTGCGTTTTTTGGTCTCAGAAAGAAACTGCTCAAGCCCAAAACCGAGACACGGCAGCAGAGCGACAGACGCCGATAACAAGTGACAGCGACTACATCGCACGCAGGATGACCTCTCGGGTCTTTGAGCGCGGAGGACAAAAGCCCGCCGGGAAGGCAGCGAGGCGCGCAGCCTCTCCTCGTTACAGAGACACACCAAAGGAAAAAAAGATCTTTGCCATCCTCGCCTCCCCGTTAAGACCTACGACACCTCGACACTCGCCCGTGAAGACCGATTGACAACAGTGGAATCTTTTCGGGAACGATCGGCTTCCGAAGCGCAAAATGCCGTCGTCCTGCCCAAAGTCATGTGAGATGTGATCACGACCGCGCGCCCCTGCACGCTTGAGCGGGCGGCAAAGGCAAAGAGCTCAAAAAGTGTCCATCACCCACACCCACACCCACACCCACACACACACACACACACACACACAGACACAGACACATGCGCGCAGACACGCACACACCGAAGTACCCGTTTGCCAAAGTGGCTCCCTTTTGTCGGGTACGCGAGTTCTCTCCGCTTGAGACAATTGCCCTGCGCAGAAAGGAAACTTCCACAAAGGATTATTTTCACTTCAGAGTAGTGCAAGTGGGGGGGGAAAGGCCCAAAAACGATTGGCTGGGCGTTTTGCTCCAAAATGTCCCACTTGAACGGCGGATGGCTCGGAAATGAAGCCGAGGGTCATTTGCAGACTATTTCGGAGAAAAACGTCATTTGCAGAATCATGAGAAAGACAGGGCAGCAGAATCCAAAGCCGACGACGCCGTGACCGACACCTCGCCCAAAATATCCACCGCACCCAAATGACATGACGTGACACGACATACCCTGCGAGTGTAATCTCGGTATGGCGGAGCCAGCTCAAAATCATCCTGCAAAACAAAAAGGGACAAACGGGTCCGGTCAGAGCGAGTCGACGGGCTCCCGCGGTTCTCGGGGCACACGTCGCGGGACGAGGTGGCTTACGCCTCGTCCAGGACCGCGTATTCCAGACTCGGGCGGCGCTTTCGGAAGCGGGCGCTCCACCGTCAACCGAGGGCCGGCGACCCGACCGGGGCGCCGCGTCAAAGGCCCTCGTCCCAGAACGGAGCCAAGGAGGAGGGGCGGCGGCGGCTTCAAAGCGACAAGGCGACCGCACAAAATAGCACGTCGAAGAAAAATAACCGCTGACACCAGCACAAGTTGCGCCGTACGGAAGATGCTCGAGAGGTGGAAGGAAAAGTGATGAAAGGAAGAAAATGTCCCTCTGCCAGATGTGGACACACAAGACGGAGAAAGAACACGAGACCAAGATAGGAAATCATGCAAGGGAGCAGTCGGGGGGGAAGGAAAGAAAAAACCAAACAAACAAAAAGAAAACGTACCAGTTTTGGGCTCTTCTTTGCAGGTGCCACCCCTGTGAGGAGCAGAAAGAGAGAGAAATAATCACCAAAGGAGTTCGCTGTGATCTCTGGAAATGGTGGCAAATCTCTTTCCCGACTGGCATTCAGTGAACTCGTGGGTGCTGGGAGGGCAGGCGGTACAATCTATCCGCATCACCGCCGCGGCCGGCGCTTGCCTTGACTGCCCCCCCCCACCCCTCCACCCCGGGGCTTCGCTAGACCCGCCTAGACCTCGGCTATTCCGCACGGGTGCATGATGCACGCGCGCGTGTGAGACGGCGAGCGAGAGAACGCCAGTCGTGTGTTAAGAGGAGAGGACGAAAAAAAGAAGAAGAGCAGACAAGAGCGAAGCGCGCCGTGCTTCGGATTTCCCGGCCGTCGCGTTACCCATGGAGAAGGAATCCAAGATAGTGCACATGAAATGAGAGGCAAGCGTCAGTTCCCCTCTTACTGAGACCATCTTCCCATGTCCGCCGTCCGAGGCTCCGGCATCGAGAGGCGCTCGCCCGCCGCTTCTTCCTCGCCTCTCCCTTTCCAGCCGCCTTTTCCTTTTTTTTTCCCCCACCCGCTTCCTCGCTCGCTCATTTCCTTGCGCACGGTCCTCCCTCCCTCCCTCCCTCAGCCTCCCTCGATCTGAGCCTGCCTCTATCCGAGTCTCCTTCCGGTAATCATCCGTGCAGCCGCACGCAAAGCGTGCTGCAAATACCACAAAGGGGGCCCTTCGCAAACGATCGGTGACCAGAAAGATTCTCATCACGGACAAGCCCCCGCAACGAAAGCCACGCCGCCGCAGGCCAGGTCCAGCGTATCGAGGCGCTACCGCAACTGTCCTCGGCTCGTGCGGACAAACGGCGGGAAGTTGCGCAAAGGACAGCGAGGGAAGGAAAGATCCCAACGCGGTCCAAAACAACCGCGCCAAAGCCTTGGCGGAGAGACTGGGCACGGCTCAATGCTGTGGAGCGGGTCTCGAGGGAAGATCGACAGATCGAAGCTCTGTCCGACATCAAGGCTCGTTCGTGAACACGAGCCGGTCCGCGCGGCTCCGCCCCTTCCTCTCTTCCCATCGTTTCCCTCTGCCCCAACGCTTCACTTTTGCTCAATCAATAACGATCCTTCGTTTTGGGAGTTCGGCTTCAGAGCGAGCTCTGAAATCCGATTATCTCCAGAGATCTGAGGCGCCGCTCACTCGGGAGGCTTTCTCGCCTTGCTGAAGCGCGCCATCAAAGCGGCACGACGGCTCGGGATTCGGCATCGCGGCTTGCTGTCAACGCTCCGCGGTCGCTCCTCCCCCTCCCCCATATGCCACACGCCAAAAGATTTACGATTCAAGGCAGCAGGCGCGGAGGTGTGAAGACGGCAGCGAAATCGGCTGCATTGAGGAAGACTCGCCGTCCTCAACGCTCCGCTCGGGCCCGCGGCCTCGCGAATGAGCGGAGGTGAATTGCCAGCAGCGAGTGGCCGGGAGGCTCCCGACCCCCGCCTTTCCGAAGAACCGCCACAGGCTGTCGGTTCCGCTGCCAGCGGGAGCTGCGGTCAGCGGAATTTTTCATGCAAAGTGGGCAAGAACGACGCTTCCCGCCCATGCGGTCGGTCAATTGATTTCCTGCTGTGGATCCGCGCAGGGACTCGTCATCCGCATTTATCCTCTTGCGAAGGGCGGTGCCGGTAACCGGAAGGCTTTTTGTTTTGCCGCTTGGTCTCCGGCAACTTTCATCTCTGACATACGAAGGGAATTTTAATCCCGAGAAAAAAGCGACAGATGCCGCTCTTGCGTATCGAGCGTCCTTTTCTTGTAGCGCAAAAAGAGATGGCGTGTTGAAGAAGAGTCCCGCCTCCAAGGCCTCGTCTCAAACGAAGGTGGCCATTTCTCATCTCTTCAACAAATGACTCTCAAGACGATCGATTTGGCCATCTTGCTTTTTGGTGGGAACCACTGAAATCTTTGAAGGGGTGTTTGGGCAAGAAAATCCAAATTCTTGACTTGACGAGAGCCAAGAAAGGCAGAGAGCACCCCCACCCCACCCCCCCACTTCCTTCCCTCCACGTCCCACTCGCGTTTGTCGCTCACCTCTCTGCACCAACATGGTGACCTCGGTGCCTTTGGGACACTTGCTGAGCAAGTCGACCACCTGGTTGTGCGACATGGTCTGCACGTTCCTCTTGTTGACCTCCACGATGATGTCGCCCTCCCTGAGGCCGCGGCAGCGCGGGTAGTCCACAATCTGTTTGACCCTCTGCCCGCCGCCGCCGAGGCTGTCGGCGATGGTGAAGCCGAAGCCCTTGTCTCCTTTCTCCATGTGCACCGTGATGAGCTCCGGTTGCGTGGCGATGGACGAGGCCAGAGTGACCACGTCGCCGGGGTAGCCGCGCCGGGAGGCGCCGTCCGAGGCCGCCTCCGCGGAGGGGCTGCGGGGCCGCGGCAGGCCGTTGAGAGCCGGACCGCCCTCGGCCGAGCCGGCGCCGTCGTTCTGGCCGCCGCGACCGGGCGGCAAGTCGTAGATGCGGTCGGAGGCCGCTTGACCGTTGATGATGATGGGCTCTTTGTTGTCCAGAATGGCCACCGAGGTCACCATGCTGGTGTTGGGGTCGTCGGGGTCAAAGGGCAAGGGGTAGCCCCGGCACAGCTCCAAGTTGACCATGGAGCCGATCGGGATGGACTGGAAGATCTTCACCACTTGGGCGTGGGTGTAGCCCAGCACGCGGGTGTCGTTGACGCTCACGATCACGTCACCTGGGGAGGGAAAATGAGGCGAGGGAGACGGCGGACATTGGCGGACTGGCCGCGTTTCCAATCGAGAGAGCGCCCCGCCCCCACCTGTCTCCATCTTGCCGTCCAGGGCGGCCGGCCCGTCGAGGACCAGGCTCTTGATTTGCAGGAATTCGTCCGGCTCGTCGCCTCCCACCACGGTGAAACCGAAACCTCTGCGACTCTTCTTCAGCTTGGTATTGATGAAAGTCCCCTTGAGTTCCGATCGGTTGCGGGTGAAGAAGGGCTTTCCTCCTGCAAACAAGAGCAGCCAATTACCGCCGAGGACATTTCCGCACAACAGACGGACGGACCCTTGCAAAAGCCAATTCCTCGGCCTGCAATTCCATTCGTGTCATCCCGGCGAGACAAAATGCTTTAAAATGCGTAATAATATGCATCATCATGATACATTTCATTTTGAAAGCGCTTTTCATCGTACTCAAAGACACTTTACAAGAGTTTAAAACACGGGGATAAAAGTGTGCACTTTAAAAGCCAAGCATACGTGATTTAAAACAAACACATTTAGGAGAAAAAAACAAAGCGGAGCACGCCGTGCCGGTCGGCGGCTCGAGCGGTTTGGAATACGGCGCAAAAATAAGACAAAAGAGTGACGTACGATGAACGAGGGGAAAACCAAAAAATGGATCAAGACAAACTCAGGAGCAGTCAACATTTGGCCGTCCCCTCTCGTTTCTAGCATGAGCGAGTGAGTCCAGACCTTTGAGCCGCATCGCTGACGAGAAGAACGGCGGCGGGAGACCAACGAAAAGAGAAACCCGGCCGGCTCTCTCCGAGGCCATCCAGCGGACAAAAGAGCGAGCCGTCCAAATCCCCTTTCGCTCTCTGCCCACTCTTTGGAGATACCGAGCCGACTGCGCACACACCGGACGGCCGTCTGCCCCTCCCTCCCTCCCTCCCTCCATCCATTCACGGAAGACATCAAGGAACCCGCAGACCGGAATGTGCACGCGAAAAAAAAAGCAAATAGGGCCATCCAAGCCAGGCCTGGCCGTGGAAAACAGATGGAGGTGAAAGGCGTGGTCCCGCGTGGGCCGTTCCCCAAACAAGTTTCTCCACTTACGTTTCTGTCCCATTGGCACAGTGGGCCCGGTGGGAGGGTCCCTGTAGGTCTCTTGCTGGTTGGCGGGATAACTTGCGAGAGGGACCCCGGCAAACGATGAGTCCTCAGTCCAGTCTGGAAGAGAAAGCGGCAAAGGTGGTCGACTGGAAGGTGACCCAACGGGAACAAAGAGTCAAGGTGGCCCAAAACACAAAACGACGGGAGAAAAGTCAGCCGCTCATCGAGTGAAATCAAGCCCTTTCTGTGACTGAGCTTGACAGGACACTTTTGAGGCCTAATCCAATGACACGCCGCACTGTAAGACTTGACGCAAATGACAACATCGACACCGGCACAACATCAGTCGGTCAAGTGGGCCGGCGATCAAAGTCACACGACGGCATTCGCAGAATTTGGAACGCGGTGCAGACACAAGGCGACCGGCGTGATGAGGCGCCGCTGTCCATTTTGGAGGAAGTTGAAGACTTTGAAAAGTGCCCCTTTCGGTCGTGAAAACGGGGTAGCTGGCGAGCTCAAATTGTGAGCGTGCAGTCTGGCAGAGTCGATCGCCGCCATGAATAGAAAGAAAGGAAAGGAAAGGACAGGAGAGGGCAGTGGAAAGGAAGCTCTGACGTAGGGCCGCTCACCTTCAGCTGGCTGCTGGCTTGGCAGCTGAGGCTGTTGCTGCTCCACTTGCCGACGCCGCTTCGCCTCCAAGACGGGATTCTCGTACTGGGTCTTCCTGTTGATATGACTTCAAAGCCAAAGAACCACGACAAGGAGGTGCATTGGGAGAAGGGGGCAAAGGCGACAACAGGAGAAATCATTTCAATTGTCGTTTTTTTTTTAAAATTAAGTTGGATGTGAGCGATGGGTTACATGATATCTGTTCCAGACTAAAAAGTCCAGAGAGGTATAGGACCGAAACATTCAGCCTCATCCAAAAAAACCTGTGACAGGACTGGAAAAAAACAAACAAAACAAAACCCATCCCATTATGCAAAAAAAAAAAAAAAAAAACATGCGGGGACTACGAAATGTACTTTTGATGGCCCGAGAACCATTTGAGCAACATGACGAATGAGCAATGAAGCAATAAACGTCTCACACAAAGCAAGCGTGCATGTGCGTGTGCGCGCGCATCTCAAAATGACAGCCACACAAACAAAAAGGCCTCCATTACAGAAAAAGACCAAAATGGCGGCAGCCGTGTATGACTGTGCATGTCATAATTCTACCCATTACCAAATCCACAATAAAGAGTCTCTCTCCTCTTATTTCACACCCGGTGCATTTACTCATTCTGTGTGTGTGTGTGTGTGTGTGTGTGTGTGTGTGTGTGTGTGTGTGTGTGTGTGTGTGTGTGTGTGTGTGTGTGTGAGAGCACGTTTGGTGACTTGGTAGAGAATGCACCACTTACTCAACGTAGTAGACCCCATAGACTGGATCATCTATTTTCTCCCACCCAGGAGGAAGTTCTAAAAGAGAATAAAACAAGACCGGCCTGGTGAGAAAGTGTGTGTGTGTGTGTGTGTGTGTGTGTGTGTGGGGGGGGGGGGCACCAAAGTATCTATTGCTATTCCGGGTACGGCCAGTAGGGGGAACCTTTTGCCTCTCTCAGTCTCCAATGTGAGCCCTCAGCATCCAGCATTTAATTCTTATCAAAACACACACACACACACACACACACACACACACACACACACACACACACACACACACACACACACACACACACACAAACACACACCTAAATCTAGCACGTGACGGGCAGGTATGCGCCAGTCGGTGTCAAGAGGAAAACATGGGGGACCTCCCATCAAGAAATGCTGATTATAACCGTCTTTCTCAGATCACTTCTCATCTATAGATAGAGGAAATGATGGCGTGATAATTCATGTGTGTGAACATGACTCAGCACTCTCTGAAAAGGCCAGATTTGTCATCGCACACAGTGTTTGTGTATAAGGTCAAGTGTGTGTGTGTGTTAAAATGTCTCATTGGGAGATGATGAGGTCATTACGACCTTTTACCATCTCGATGAGGCGCTGCAGGTGATGTTGCTTCTCTACATGAGAATTCGAGACATTTGTAAAAACGCTTCATGACAACTACAAATGAAAAAGGGAAATATTGATGAGCATCTGCGTGGCACAGTCATGAGAAGGCGCTTCACATGGGACTTCATATTTAACCGCGGATAAAGAATTGGATCCAAAGATAACTTGATGGACAAGTCTCCATCCAATCTGTACATTTAAGCCACATTTAAGGGGGATACAGAAAACCTTCATGGCTGAATTTGTACTGTATATGTGACCTCATGCAGTTACTCAACTAACGGGGCGAATAGCATTCTTCAATGCACAATTGGCCGATGGGTCTGTGAGTTTTGCTAGCCAAACTTCAGAATTATTTCGTGATTGTGGATCGGACATGCAATTATGCATCCAAGCGTGGTGTCATCGCCGTTGTGCTCAATTTCAAAGCGTTGACTGACAAAAGTCACAAGGGGGAGGGGGGTTGTACCCACCGTGATCGTTGTCGAGCTCCTCCGTATGAACCCCTTCTAAACTCAACAGCATGGCAGGTGCAAAAGAGAGCAGAGAGACGAACAAGTGCATTAGTCAAATGCAATTGCAACATCTGGCCACACGATGGCAAGGGTGCAAAATGAGACTCCACTCTTCTCACAATGCACACGTGCTCGGAGTTGCGCTCCAATCACTCCTGGTCAAGAAAACGTGCACGATCATATCGAGTGCGAGGGGAGGAAATCAGATTCGTGCTGACGTCACAGTATCATAAAAGTGGGCTCCAGAGATGGGCAGCCCGAAGGGGAGTTTGTGGTGTCGGGGGATGGGGGGCGGGGGAAATAATAAGGCCAGAGTGCAGCCAAACACTGTATTTTTTTTAACAGCACAGCCTTTTACATCTCAAGAGTAATCTTAGAGAAATGCTGCCACCTAGTGTACAGTCAGAGAACATAAAGTGCCTCGGGAACCCATTTCACCAACGATCAATCCAGCCGGGTTCAGAAAGCTGGCTGTGTTGCGTGTCTCGGTTCCCGCCCACCAAGGTTTTTTTTTTTTTTTTTTTTATGATCCCCGCCTACCCCGTTTGAGGCACGGATTTCTAAGAGTAAAGTTTGATTTTTATTATTTCATTTTATCATAGGGTCTATTGTTGTGTTGTGAAATACTCATGTTGAGCTGCTTATCACGAAGCCATTTGAGACTTGCTTGCTGTTGTCGCCATTCTAGATGGGCTCAGCGGAACAGATGGAGCAAAGTAAGAGCTGTCTCGTCTGTAGGGGCGTCATGCACGGATGCTTTTCCGGGGGGGGGGGGTATGGGGGGCGGACTGGGACGGACGACTATTATATGAATAAGGACGGAGGGGTGATGACAGAAGGGTACCCCAGTGGCGGACGGCTCTGCAAAATCGGGTCAAGTGCCCATCTCCGGTGGGCTCACACAATCAACTGCGCGCTACACATATCCGTGTACAGATATGTGAGCCGTTTGGCTGAACAAAAAACAGAATTTGTTTTCCTTACAAAATCCGTGGGAGATCCCACCCAGAGACTCTCTCATTGAGTTCTGTTTTTTTTTTCCTCGCCATAAACACATTCAAATTGAAAATGTGTCATCGGCAACTGCCACCGAGATACTGGCGTGAAGCCCGGCTCTTATTTTGGGAGTCTTCCACTGATTTGAAGACCGAGCAGAGTCCCGATAAACAAAAGACAAGTGACCACGCCAACACGCAAGCATTTTTACCATCATCGTCACATTCTTCCAGGGTTTTCTGAGGCTTGTCCAGGCACCGAGGGTCTATCCAAGACGTGGTCTTCGTATTGTGGCTGAAAATTAACCAGAGGAAGGTATTGGAAGGTTTTTTTTTGTTTTTCTCTTCTCAGAACGATCGAGTTGTTGATTCACGCAGTGTCATTTCTTTGTTTGTTTGTTGCAGCCGCGGTTTTGCTTGTGCGTGTAAAAGTGCGCTTACTCTATAAAATAGACCTCTCCGTTGTCAGTGTAGGCCATCTCCCAGTTGTCAGGCAGAGGGCCCTGAGGATCCTCCTCCGGAGGATGGCTCAGGTTAGGGGGAGTCTGCCGAGTGCTCTCCGTGGTGGCCGGCGGGGAGGGGGCGGTCCCAAGGTAGGATGGGTCACTTCGGCGAGGGCTGAAGGCTCTCGCCGAACGATGAGTCTCGTCCAATTCACTCGACTCTCCTGCTGGGGTCGACAACCGACACGAGACTTTGCGTTTCCACCGACGTTCACCCGCAATTCGAGATCGGAGCGGCCGAGGTTCGAGCGTATCAAAACTCCAGTAGGCCGAGCGGGCAGCGAGACGCATGGCGGCGGGGCCGGCGGTGGAGGGCTCGCACCCGGCTTCGCCGTTATCTCGTTCCCGCACTTGACCGCCGGCGTCACGGCTCACGCGGGCACAGACGGCAACCGAGGCTTTTCGGGCGCCACCGCCGCAGAACGCATTGTTAAAAGCAGCCCGAGGCCAGCTCGGCTTTCTCGCACGGCCACTTTGAACGACTGTACTGACACGCGAGATGGAATAATCACGGCGGGCCCTTTATCGCCAAACGCCGATGCCAATCTCATCACACTTGTAAGGAAGCCCAAAGCGCTGACCGTGGAGACCGCGCAGGCTTTCACCCTCTGCCGCATGCGGCCAGGCGGCGGTATCGCACGTTCTCGTGTGGATGGATGAAGCCCCACTTGGCCAGAGCCAAAGAGAAATCCCCTCCTCACCAATCAACGGAGCTCCTCCGCGTTTAGGTTTTGAGCTGATCCGCCCTGGGTGGCTTCATGCGTCTCGGCTGCTGCGTTCTTTTCACGCGTGCGCCCTTGACACCTTGCCAGCCACTCCCTCTTTCGCTTTCATTTTTTGACACCCTTCACGATCGCCTCCCACTTTAGCCCTCACCACTCAAAAGCTCCCTCCGATTCCTTCGAAAAACGGAGCAGCGTGAAGAGAAATCCTATTCCGGCGTTATCGTCGACATTAAACAGACCGTGACTGACTTTTTGTCAGGTTGCCGTTGAGGAGGAGCCGCCCCCTTCCTCCCCGCCAGGTTTGTTCACTCACAAGATTAAACTACTTTGTACTTTAAGGCGACAACAGCACGTGAGAGAGAGAGAGAGACTCTGAAAGCTGCTCAGATGAGAGAGGGAGTTTGAAATCCTGAAAACTTTACGCAAAACTTTCCGTACCTGGGTAACTACCGTTCATGTCAGGGAGGTCCTGGTCGTCCTCCCGCGGCGGTTCTCCAGGCACTATTCCAGCATTGCGCATGTCATTGTAGGACTTGCTGCGACGAGGCGTGAAGTCTGGCGAGCCGGGCCGGCTACCGCTGAGCCCGTCTGGCCGTGGGGCATCACCGCCGCTGCTATAGGGAATCACTTTCCCACCGGGGGGCTGCACCGGCGGCTTGGGTGTCCCATAATAGTTTCCTAGGCAACCGAGGAGAGGGAGAAAAGGAGAGGAAGGAGAAAAAAAGGGGGGGGGTGGATTTCAGTCGTGGATTTCAGTCGAGGGCACGGAGGGGTCAACGCTTTTGTTGGCGTGTGCGTGTGCGTTTGGCCTTTCTATGCAAAGAGAGAGCTTTGAGTTTGTCTGATGGAATCAGACGGATTCCTTTGAGAGCATGACGGCAAACAAAAGCGTCAACGGACCATTGGGCTTTTTCTACATGGAATCAATAAACAGACATTCAGACGCAACATTTAGTCCCTCGTAAAAAAATGGCATTTTTGGTGAAAACTCTAGTTAGGGTGCGCGCGGTCCCACGTGGGCCTGCCGGTAGCGCTGCTGCGTTGGTGAAACGTTGTGACCCCCCCATCCTTTTGAATTTAGAGCAATGCTACATTATGAACAAATGTTGGAGGTAGTAGCAGCGGATGATTGTTTTTCAACATACCTTCATATGTTCCGATTTCCAACAGGGTCCCGCTCTTCTCCAACTCCAGAAAGTCCTGAACCGAAAGGAAAGTGTAGTCTACACCGGGGACTTCTCCTTCACGGGGGGGTCGGGTAGTACCTGAGCATTCAAAGAAGAGAGGAGGAAGTCACCACACAAAACAAATACAAAAGAAAAAGCACTGTAGAAAATCAGAGCTCAACTCTTGCTGTCACCCACCCCCTCCCCCCAAAAGCCACTTTGACACTGTTGTCATTGGAACGTGTCACTTTTCATGACGACAATCTCCTGGCACATCACCCAACAAACAGGTCCACAGAATGGTGAGTGGTGAAATGATGAAACTGAATGTCTCAATTTACTGTGACGTGGAGGAGCATTCAATAGAGGGCTCCGTCCTTTTAGCAATTACCCACAATGCACTACCGGCAGCCATATTGGAGGGCTGTTATTAACAAGCCATACAAGAATAGACTTCGTGTATGGCTTGTTTATAACAGCCATACACATTTGGCCAATGAAACGCTGAGATTCGTCACATCAAAGATGACGTCTGCTTTTCATTTTGAAGCCATCACTTCATGGCAACGCAAATCCTGGAGTTAGAGAAATCATCAGCCCATCATGCTTTCTCCTTTGTAAAGTTAAACAAATACAAAAGGACAAAGTATTATCGACTAGCCAAATGTTCTGCCTGTAATTCATATCTTTACTCTTGTAACTGTTGAAGGACCCCCCAAAAAACGTTGCTTTATTCATGACATGGACTTTGGGGGGGGCCATTTAATGGGTTGCCACATGTTTTCTGTCCAAATCGGAATTGGCAAAAAAAAAAAAAAAAAAAAAAAAAATCCATATTGGTCAGGCCCAAATGAATATTAAAACATCGGAAATCGAATTTGGAATTCAATGCCACACACACTCAAAGAAAACTGAACAGGAAGAGGAAATGTGAGCACTCTTTCGAAGGGGATGAAAAAACAAAACAAAAACAAAATAAAGTGGATGGAAGCTTGGCTTAAACCCAGGTAAGACACTGTCATCTCTATATACTTAATTAATTCAATGCCGCCCCCCCAACCCACAAAAGCTCCTTTGAGCAAGCTGTTACATGCAGTGGAGAGGAAAGACAGAGCCACGCATAGAGACGTTCCTGTTGAGATGGGCCCTTATCCGCCCCCCCCAAAAAAAATAATTCGAGAGCATTGACAACCAACCGCCAACGGATGATGATCTCGAAATCAGGATCACTTTACGTTCAACGATCGGAAAAACTCGGTCCTCATTTGAGGCCGCACAGAGGCCGACCGGCTAGCGCGGTGCAGAGGTGCGGGGTCGGGGGTCCAGCTGCGGCGTTCCCGCGTGCACTTTTTCATGCTCTGCTGTGCCCGCCTGCATGGCACCAAAACGCGTGGCCGGCTGATTGGACACACCGAATCGTCCCTCGTTGCGACGGTGAGCACGAATGGTTGTTTGTCGGCGTGCGTGGCCGGCGACCCGTTGAGCCCGCGTCCCCCCGACTGCCGCCTGTGAAGACAGCCAGCCGGGCTAGGTCGCGGCACGCTCGCGACCCTCCTGAGGAGAAGCGGATGGACGGAAAGGAAGAACATCTGAAGCACTTTGGTTCACATTTTGGTCCGCGGCACGCCAAATCAATACGTCCAGAAATCAACCGATACAAATTGAGCAAGCAGCGGTGGTATTCCTCTGACTAGCAAAAGACAACTTGAAAGAACAAGCGCCCGTGAGCACGACGTCACCTGTCTGGATGTGTTCCCAGGGCGTTGGTGTGGCAATATTTATTTTTTTCGTTAAGTCCCTCCCATACGTTTCTCATGGCAACGTGTGCTGCACTCCGACGGCAAGCTGACTTCCTGACGAGCTCAAACAAAGTGCAGCTCGCATTGAAATGTACAGCGCGTGTCATTGTTTTTGTCCCGTGTTTCGTCTGACGGTCGACTGCGGAGCTGCCGCCCGAAAGACGTTCACTCGCAGGACAATTTGTCCAAATGTTGTCGAGCTCATGATGTCACAGGCTGCAGAGAAGACTGCCGACTGTGCAATCGTCGTGGAGATCACTCCAAAAGCCATCGTTGGCACGCGTCCTGCCGACACGCTTTACTTGTCTCACAATGGAGAAATTGCCAATTTACAGCAGCAAAATTATGAAAGGGAGAAGTAGAAGAACACAAAGTATAGAAGTCAATCTAAATGATAAAATGATGTTGTGATTGATCCAAATAACAATCAAGGCAGCGAGACCACATGACAGCCCCCAAGAGACCGTTGCGGCTCCTCGTGACGAGGAGACTGGAGCGGCTAGCGTGCAAATTTTCCTTGACGATGTCGAAATCATGACGAAATAAAAATGAGCAACTTCAAGCTGAGTAACGCAGACGGCAATGTTGGAAAGTAACTCGTGACTTTCGAACGCAAGTCGAAACGAAAACAACGGTGTGTGCGCTTTCAACGTGAAGAGAGTAAAAAAGGGAGCTCTGTTTGGTGCTCCGAAGCCAACCCCCGGGATGCCAAACCAAAAACGCTCCCTTGGCTAAAGGCCAAAAAGCCAGCGCGGGGCCTCGAGTGTGGCTTTGCCATTTAGCTCCGTCCGACCTACTTTGAAGGGGATTCCGAACGCCGACGTCGGCTCCTCGGATGTCGAGTGCCGGCCAGTTTTGTGCGCGAAGCCTCGTAGATGGCGCTTGAGATCGCAAAGCCGTCTCTCTCCCCAGATCATCGTCTTTTCCAATTTCAAAACATGCCAGGGAGCCCGACTCGTACACCTTCCTGAAATTAGTTCCGGGCCTCTTTCTCCTTTTGCCGACTCCAAAACAGCCACATGGTGACAGGGCAGAAAGACCAAAGGTGCCCGTATGTTGGTCATCCAACCAAAAATAAAGCTCCAGGTCCGTGTATCCAAACATTCTTGAATCTGTTGAGCGTGTGGAGCAGGAGGAAAGGAAGCTCGCGCTTCAAGAAATTTTCTTTTCCTGGTCAGATGGAAGAAAAAAAAAAACGCATGGCCACATCTTGGTGTAAAGTCGCTTTGTTGTTGCTTTTCAAAGATAAGTAAAGAAATAAAAAGCCCTCGACGTCTGCTCCTGAAACTTGAGTCCTCACAGGAGTCTGTTGACTGAGCAAACTCTGCGCTCTCACCCGAAGGCTGCCAAAGCAATTGAGTATTCGAGGCCGATCGACGACTCCACCCAAAGGAGGCTTTTTTTCAGTCGTGCGCACAAAGCCGCTTCGGGGTGACGACGTGATGATCTTGGAAAAACTCATCCCGCCGTAGCGTTCGGGAAACGGGGGATGGAGCCGGATGGGGCTACCTGGAAGGAAGTGCTCGGACTTCGGATCAATGAAGGTCCCGGTTCAATTCCCGCTGCGGACTACGGCGAGTGGTTGTTGGAAAGATGGTCGGCGTTCCCGTTCAGGTCGCGCGTTGGCGCTCTCGATAGATGCGGCCGCAACTTTCGTTTCAATTCGGATCGTCGGTGACGTCTCGTCGAGCCGTTGCGTCTCGAGTTTCGGCGTTCCGTCGCCGACCGCGTCGGCGCTCCGATGCCGAATCGGAGCAACCTTTGAATTTGTCTCACGCGCCACCGCCTTGCTACAAATGTGGGTGGAAATCGGCCCGGTACTTTTTGTGTCACACTTTTGAGCGTTCGTCCAACACATGAAGCTAGCGCCCCCCCCCGCTTTCACATGCGACCGTGACGGCCCGCCCGGTTCTTTCCTCAAGTCCCCAACTTACTCGAGCTGAAATGGAGCTGCAATTTCATCTCAACGGCGGTTAAATGAACAGACGAGACTCCGATGTAGTCGGAGGGAAGAGAGGTTCCTGATAACGACGGCCCGATCATCAAAAAAAAGGCCTGCTTTTTAATTGTACTTGTGGCTGGTTTATCAGAGGCACTTCGAAAAGTGTATTCATTCATCTGATCACGGGAGACGAGAGGGAATTCGGAGAGACCGAAGAAAAAGGATCCGCCGTCCAGATACGGAAAAACTCCCAGACCCGAGCGTTGCGCAGAGGCAATGGGCTCCACTCGTGAGAAAGCCGCACATTTTCTGCTGGAAGGCACGGACGGAACCGACCGTCGTCATTTTCCAAAGCCAAAACAGATCCCTCCACCATCTTGGCACTCAGCCAGTCTGCCGGTGCTCTTGGTGGTGGTGGTGGTTGTTTTTTTTCTTTTTTCGTGTGTGTGTTACGCATGCACTCGCAGAGCCAGCGTGACGGGCCGACTGGTATTTTTTTTGGGGGGGGGGGGGTTAATCCAAGCAAAATGACAGGACACCGAACGTAACATTTTGCAGGCTTCACATGGCCTCGCTTGTCGGGCGGCGGGGAGGAGGGGGGGACGGACCATCAGCGGCAGAGCTCACGGTTGCTTCAGCCGTCCCACCTGATTTTTCAAAGCCCTCCCTCCGCGGCGGCTGTGGAGAATTCAATCTCAAACGGGGTTTTGCTGCAGACGCCTTTCCTGAAGGACGGCTCTTTTGAGTCGGGGGAGGGGGTTTCGCCGCTTGGGCTGACTGAAACGGGCGCACAATGACGAGGCCGTGTATTCACACCGATCAAAACAGACCCGTGCACGCTGGACTCCCCCCCCCCCCGGTTTCCCCTCTTCCCAGCCCCAAAAGAATCCTCGACAAGGTGAAGAAGGCAAAGAGAGAGATTGGACAAAGAAAAACCTGAAGGGCCACTTGTGGGGAGTAAAGCTAAATCGGCCAGAAAGCAGCCTGAAAACGCTTAACACCCCCCACCCGCCATACCCAACCCCCACCCCATAATCAACACGCACACATGGCCTTTTGTCTTTCGATCGCACCCAGCAAAAAAGCACCGTGGGCTAGCCAGCAAATCCCGACAGCGGCACAGAAATGCAAAAGAAAGCCTCGAAAATGATCCATTAGAGGGGC